GGCTTCAGTCATTTTTTGTGCGTAATGGTTTAAGTAATTAGCTTTCTGTTGTAGAGATGAACAGACTCGGGTGGTTTTCATTATGTTTATAGGAGTGAATTACATGAATTTGATAAGAAACATCTGTTTTACTTTCTGGACAACTAATAGTAAAGAGAAGATCTATTTAAATCGCAACAGACATGTTTCCTCCAAAAAATAAGCGTAGAATACAGCCAGTGTGTTAGCCATTCTTATTTAGATTCCTATATTTTTGAAGCTGCCCTTTTTTCTGTCTTATCGTCGTCGTAAACGATACCATAAGTTCTTTATGAATTTAATTTTCTTATAAATTATTTTTTTCTAAATTCCAATCTCATACACAAATACGAATGTAAAGTTATAGGATTTTCAAAAAAAGGCTGCTGTAAATGTTTTTAAGCTATTAAATTCGATCATTTGAAAAACATTCAATAAAAAACGATAAATTTTTTCACATTATTGTTGTAATGATGAATAATACCAAAGTATAGAGTGATTGATTTTGCAGTTAGTTATCAGATGCTGTTGCAAATCGCTTGACTTTTGAACTAACGATATGTAATTTTGTACGCTGTGATCCAGTTTTTGGCAGGAACTTTTTTCGTGCAGCATGCGGCTGCTCATCCTTCTCATCAACACCCTTCTCACATTTGCCTACAAATGCACAATACGACCCTATGAGGCAAAAGGACCTAAACAAACGGGAAATAATGGTTATGCGATAGAAATAGACGCAGCTACGACAAGGAGTGATAATGGCAGCACCGGTTTTATCCCTGGTGAAACATATAAAAGTAGGTTCTTCTAAGGACCAAAATTGTTATATTCCAATATAACTCTTTTGTACCAGTATCTGTCCCTTTTAATTCCATTCATAGTTAAGGGACTTGATAGAGCAGAAAAACAAAAAGTGCTACGCAAATTATCCCAGACATTTGAAGAAAGGGAAAAGGGAAAAGAGAGAGCTGTTGAAGAAAAATTCTTTAGTCAAGGGTGATCTACGCAAGAGGAATTGGCTTTTCAAACTCTGACAACATCTGTCTTCTCACTTATATTGAGTTCCTATT